TACGGTAAAATACCGGTAGCTGTGGTTGCCAGAATTTTACCGTAAAAAATATGGTAGCAACATTTTAGGTTTTACAGACTTGACTTAAATTCACAATAAAATACCGTATTTCATTAACTGATATAATGTTAATAAACCAACACATTGAAGTACTAATATCTATTTTGAACCATTGTAATGCACTGATAACCACCAAAAACTGGTGGTGATGAGAAAGTCACATGATGAACCAAAGCTCACCATAAACAGCTTTTCTACGAGCTAAGGAGGCCAATACTTATATATAGAAGGTGCACAGTGTCATTTACACTAACACTAAACCCCATCATGGTGACACACATGATACTGAAATAATGCAATAAACATTAATTTAACAACATTAGATGTAAGATTAAACCCTAATGTACACAACTGATAAGAAAAAACTAAGAAGAAACATGTTATTTCAACAAAAAAACATCAACTATGAAGTGTCATGCAGGGAATTCTGGGAGAGTCAAAAAAAATATGAAGTGTCATGCATGGAATTCTGGGAGTGTCAATTTATGGTTTTTCGCTGTAAATTATACAATGACTTTTTCTTTTTCACTTCCTAAAAATTTTTAACAGTATTTTACTGTAAAATTACGTTAAATGTAATTACATTTATTCACCGAATATATTATGGAAACTTACTGTTAACCAATTAACAGGTTTTTACTGTAGCATTTTTAGTCTTTTACTGTTAAAATCACAATAATTTTTTACAGTGTGAGCTAGTTGTTAAGTTTAGGTATGGGGTGGATTAAGGGATCAAAAATATGGTCATGCAGAATAAGGCATTAATATTTGCTTTATAAGTACTAATAAACAGCCAATATGCTAGTAAAATGCATGCTACTAAGCAGATAGTTAATAGTCAGAATTAGTCCTTAAAATAAAGTGTTACTAAAATTGTATTAGTAGAAAAAAATGCTGGGTCAATTTGTTTAAAAATTCTATTTAGCAAAGAACAGATCATTTATTTTTACATACTGGTATATTTTGAGATGCAGGAAGTTTCTCCTTTTGATTTATCTGATGTCACAGCAGTGATGCAGAATGTGTAATTGACTCCATCAGTGAGACCAGTGATGTTATAGAGAGTGTTACTAGTTTCTATTGAATTTCTGTTTGTTTTCTCATCAGTCCAATTAATTTTAAAGAAAGATCTATTTTCAAATGTTTCATCCCATGTCAGAAACACAGATGAGGTTGTGTAGTCATCTGTAACATGAGATGATAGATCTTTGGTTCAGCCCAGACCCATAACTCCTCATCATCCTCCAGCTCTGTCATGTATTCAACCTCCCCAGAGTCTTACTCGTGCTCCTGGCTCTGTCAATAAGTCCCGGTCCTTCTGCTCTGCCAGCTCACCAGGAACCTCCTGCTTCACCGCCAATTCTACTGTGGTTACCTGTTTTATTTCCAATTCTCCCACTCTGTCTTGGCCCTCCAAACCCCTGGCTCCACTTTGGCTCTCGACCCATAACTCCTCATCATCCTCCAGCTCTGTCATGTATTCAACCTCCCCAGAGTCTTACTCGTGCTCCTGGCTCTGTCAATATGTCCCGGTCCTTCTGCTCTGCCAGCTCACCAGGAACTTCCTGCTTCACCGCCAATTCTACTGTGGTTACCTGTTTTATTTCCAATTCTCCAGCTCTGTCTTGGCCCTCAAATCTCATGGCTCCACTTTGGCTCTCGAATTCTTCAGCTCCACTATGGTCCTCCATTCTTCCAGCTCCACTGGGGTCCCTCGTTTCCATGGTCTTCCAATACTCGAGCTCCACCATGGTCGTTCGATCCTCCTGCTTTACTTCAGTCTCCATCTTTGATCTCTTCTGTTGCCGTGGTCCTCCATTCCATTGGCTCCATGTGAATCTTCAGTTCATTCAGCTCCCCCTTGGTCTTTATTTCCCTGGATCTGGGATCTGTTCCCCTTCTCTGACCCTTGGCCCTCCTACCTACAAGCAATGCTCACCTGAACTGTTTTCTTTCATTTGTGGTGTTGTGATTGCACAAGTCATCTGTTCTTTTATGTTCAAAGATCTTTATTTTTATATATTAACTGACTGTTGATTTATCTGCTGTGCCCTGATTGTGAAAAATCATCCAAAGTAGAAATACATATAGGACGAAATGTGAACTGGTGGGCCAAATTAACGACCAAGAGACTGGCAAGAGGGAAGGCAATATTTTAATATTTAATCTGTAACATGAACTTTGAATGGAGATTTCTACTAAAAACAAAGAGGAGAGCAAATGAGTGGTGCTTGACATGGGAACAACTCTAGTGCTTTTACAAATTACCTGAAAGAAATATTGGTTAATATGTTTTTTTGTGTGTGTGTTCAGAGACTCTTAGTTTTATGTTTAGTTTGTTCAGTTGTTCCTGTTGTCCCTTTCATGTATTTTTCTTTCTTGTTAAGTTGTTTTCTAGGTTAAGTATGCTCTCATTTGTTTCTATAGTTACTTATTTGTTAATTGATTAGTCCTGCTGTTCCTTGTTTTATCTCTCATTTTCCCTGTGTATTTATACCCCCAGTTCTGTTCAGTTCTTTGTCTGTTCTTATCTTTGGATTAATAGAGGTACTGCTAGCAACTAGACTGATACTGAACCCCTTTCTTTCCATGCCTTGAACAGCCACCCATGATAGTCAAGTAGTTTAAATGTGCTTTGTAGTAAGAAACATGTATTTTAGAATTTTGCATACTAGTAAATTGTGATCTGCAGACAGTTTCTCCTTTTGCTGATTTATCTGCAGTAACAGCAGTGATGCAGAATGTGTAATTTACTCCAGCAGTCAGACCAGTGATGTGATAGGAAGTGTTAGTAGTTTCTGTTGAATTTCCACTTGTTTTATCATCAGCCCACTTAAGTTTAAAGAAAGATCTATTTCCAATGGGTTCTTCCCATGTCAGAAACACAGATGAGCTTGTGATGTTGTTCACTGTGAGATTCCTGATAACATCCGGATCTGTGTAGAGAGAGGACAAATCATAAATACTGTTTTGAGATGGTGTAAAACATGTAAGACTGATACAATTATTCATAAAGTGTTTGTAGCATTTGTAGGTACTTAAGATGTTGCTGTACAGTTTTCTGCTTAAGGAAAGGTTCAATAGATTAATTCAGATTAAACATCCAATCAGAGGTCTTACTGGTATAAAGTGAAATCTGATTGGCTCTCCCCTCGGTCACATGATCAGCTGCAACTGCAAACACTCTGAATGTGTATTGCGCTCCAGGAGTCAGATCATTTATCTCGATGGAGGTGTTTTCAGCTGTCACACTGTTACTTTCATATTCTACACGGTAACGGGAGCTTTGGCCATTTGGTTTAGTCCAGTTTAGTAAGACAGAGGATGTTGTAATATCAGCAGCTGTGAGGTTCATTATGACGTCAGGCTCTGTGAGTAAAAATGACAGACATTTGGGGATTAAAATGCAAATCCTGAAAACTTACTGTAGTGAAGATTAAAAAATATGAAAGGCATCAGTCAATATGAATATTCAGCTAGGGGAATCCGGAAACATTTAAGTGGAAAACATACTTGTATATTTAGAGGTAACCACTGATTCTCCTTCTGTTGATTTATCTGCCGCAACAGCTGTGATGATAAATGTGTAATTGACTCCAGCAGTTAGATCAGTGATGTTATACCATGGGTTATTGGTTGTTACACGATTAGATGTTTTCTCATCAGTCCAATTAACTTTAAAGAAATCTCTATTTCCGGCTGGTCCTTCCCATGTCAGAAACACAGATGATGTTGTGATTTCAGACACTCTGAGATTCCTGATCACATCTGGCTCTGTGTAGGAAGAGAAGGACAAATCATAAATGCTGGTGAGAAGTCAAGTCAAGTCACCTTTATTTGTATAGCGCTTTATACAAGTTTGGTTGTGTCAAAGCAGCTTTACAGTGTTAAACAGGAAACTAGTTGGTCAATAATGCAATAAGACAATAACACTAATTTTTCCAGCTAAAGTCAGAAGTGGAGATAAACAAGTAAGATTGATACAATTAGGAATTTCTAAAGCATTTGTAGGTGCTTAAGATGTTGCTGTATAATTTTCTGCTAAAGGCAAGAAAAGGTGAGATTATTTCAAGGCTGAAGGTTCAGCAGATTCACTCAGATTAAACATCCAATCAGAGGCCTTACTGGTATAAAGTGAAATCTGATTGGCTCTCCCCTCGGTCACATGATCAGCTGCAACTGCAAACACTCTGAATGTGTACTGTGCTCCAGGAGTCAGATCATTTATCTCAATGGAGGTGTTTTCAGTAGTCACACTGTTATTTTCATATTCTACACGGTAATGGGAGCTTTGGCCATTTGGTTTAGTCCAGTTCAGTAGGACAGAAGATGTAATATCAGCAGCTGTGAGGTTCATAATGACGTCAGGCTCTGTGAGTGAAAATTACAGACATTTAGGGATTAAAATGTGAATCCTGAAAACTTACTGTAGTGAAGATTTATAAATATGAAAGGCATCAGTAAATATGAATATCCAGCTAGGGGAGTCCAGAAACATTTAAGTGGAAAACATACTTGTATATTTAGAGGTAACCACTGATTCTCCTTCTGTTGATTTATCTGCTGCAACAGCTGTGATGATAAATGTGTAATTGACTCCAGCAGTCAGACCAGTGATGTTATAGGAAGTATTAGTAGTTGTTGAATTTCCACTTGTTTTATCATCAGCCCATTGAATTTTAAAGAAAGATCTATTTCCAACTGGTTCTTCCCAGATCAGAAACACAGATGATGTTGTGATTTCGGTCACTGTGAGATTCCTGATCACATCTGGCTCTGTGTGGGGAGAGAAAGTAACATGATTAGTGGTAACGAAATTAACTAAAACAGCTGTTGGAACAATGCTATTATAAATTATAATAATATTTGTTAAGCTCATTGAGTCCAGGTATGTCAATAAGATGTAATCGTACATGGTTCCACTAATACAGTAAATATCAGAAGGCTTCAATGCTAAAATCTCAGATATTTGCTAATTTAAGAGGAAAACTACTGGAACATTTTACAGTATGAAAATACTTTGAAATACTGTTTCAATTAATAAATTCCAATAATATTTTAGTATATAATTTACAATAGTAATTGTTTGTGGGTCAGAAGCTAAGCACTTGGAGTAAATAAGCAAAGGACAAATGTTTTGAAAGTCTACATACTACTCCATGCTGAGATACAGACAGATTCACTTTCTGTTGGTGTATCTGCTACAGTGGCAGTGATGCAAAATTGACTCCAGCAGTCAGACCAGTAATGTTTTACTGGTGTGACATCACTGATGTGTCTGTTGCATTTCCAGATGTTTCATCAGCAGGCAATTGAACTTTAAAGGACAACGCTATTTCAAGTGGTTCATCTAGGGCTGTTTGATTCCGAAATTTTTGGAATCGAGTCTGATTCCCGGTTCTGGAATCGATGGGATTCGATTCCAAGAATCGATTCCTCACTGTTGTTTTCGATTCTTGTTTTTTTTTTAGATTGGAGGAACCTAATTTCGCCATGACTGCTGGAAAAAGGTCGTAGAAATTAGCCTTCCCATAATGTCGCCATCTGTGATGGCGAGATGACACATAATATGAAGCTTTATTTGTAAAAATTACAATGAATTTCTGTAGCTCCGATTGATTTTAAATTGTAATTTTGTCTGCATTGCGCATGAAATTAGTCATAGCCCACAGCTCAGCAGTAGACATGCGTTTATTGCATGAATGGAACAAGACATGAAGTGTCTAAATTAAACGTGCACAGTTCAGCTGAATGATGCTTTGCACAAAATTAACAAACTGTACACCGAAACAAAATAACCAGAACATTAACAACAACACATTGATTTAAGAGCTCGTGGTTTATCTGTCAATCAGATGCGTTCTCAGCCACTGATCTGTGCTCTCTGCATTTTCTTTCAGAATTATCATTGGCTGATAGAAAGGTTAAAAAATAGCATTTTATTTAAGATGTAAATAAGAATGTCTCGGTTACGTATTGATATATCTGTATGATTGTGATCTAAAGACCCTATGTGATGCACACTCAGATGTTTCATTGATTATTTTTCTTTATTTAAGTTTCTTTTTAATATCTGTAATCTTCTCTTTCTCAGCGTCGTGCATTGCTGCCGCACGCTGGTTTAAATGCTGCACGAGTCCTCATATATATTCGTTTGTGTTATCCAGAATAAATGAGGACCTGATGGAAAGAATTTTCGCAGTCTGTCTTTCGTTTCGAAACAACGCAGAAAACACACCGCTACATATGCTTTGCACAAAATTAACAACATGTACACCGAAACAAAATAACCAGAACATTAATAACAACACATTGACATAAGAGCTCGTGGTTCATCTGTCAATCAGATGCGTTCTCAGCCACTGATCTGTGCTCTCAGCATTTTCTTTCAGAATTATCATTGGCTGATAGAAAGGTTAAAAAATAGCATTTTATTTAAGATGTAAATAAGAATGTCTCGGTTACGTATGTAACCCTCGTTCCCTGAAGGAGGGAACGGAGACATTACGTCAGTGACTGACGAATTAGGACCTCGCTAGAGAGACCAATCACCTTCGAGTGTTAACAAAACAAGCCAATAAGTGTTGGCGTGCGATCTTTGCATCGCGCACCCCGCCCTGAAGCGCGGGTATATAAGGGAAAACGCCACTATTGCTGACCCCCTCCAGTGCCCTGCGAAAGCCAGCAAGTCCCCCCACACCAGTTGGGGTGGAAGATAGGACAGTGCGTAGGCATTGGTGTCCGCCACTGCTGTTTCGTACAGTGGGATATTGGATAACACATCACTACACACGGGCACCTAGCCCAGCACAAGGGCTGACCTTGGGCATACACATGAGTGCTGAACCTGGCGTCTGGCACTCTGCCACGCTTGACCGCCGAGGGTGCGGGAGGAACTCCATAGGGTTCACCAAAAGGGAAACTGAACTGAGAAGCACTTAAGCGCACATATCCGGTCCGTAGAGGGGAATGGCGCAGCAAGCGTGATCGACACCGAGTGGGTTCGGTGTTCCTGACCCTCTGAGGTAAGTACACGAGAGGACACGGGCTCTACACGGAGATTATAGAATTTCGCAAACGTGTTAGGTGTCATCCAGCTGGCAGCTCTACAGATGTCTGCTATCGAAGCGCCCCGCGCCAATGCCCAAGAAGATACCACTCCTCTCGTAGAGTGTGCTCTCACGCCGAGGGGGCACGGTAAACGTTGGGCCTGGTATGCCAAGACTATAGCCTCCAAGA